AAATCTTTCTTCTCTCACCTTAAAAATATGCCCCCTGGTCTTGAAATCGCCCATCCTAGTGCAAAGATACCTGCCATTCACCTTTTCAAAACCCCTCTATAAGGTCACCCGTCAACCTCCTACACTCCAGTGAAAAAAGTCCCAGCCTATCCAGCCTCTCCTTATAACTCAAACCCTCCATTCCTGGCAACATCCAGGTAAATCTCTTCTGAACCCTCTCCAGCTTAATAACATCCTTCCTATAACAGGGCAACCAGAACTGGACACAGTACTCCAGGAGAGGCCTCACCAACATCCTGTACAACCTCAACATGATGTTCCCAACTCCTGTACTCAAAGGTCTGAGCAATGAAGGCAAACGTGCTAAACACCTTCTTAACTACCCTGCCTACATGTGACACAAACTTTAAAGAATTATCTAACTGAACTCCTGGGCCTCTCTGTTCTACAATACTTTCCAGGGCCCTACTTGTAATTATATGAGTCCTGCCCTTGTTTGTTTTACCAAAATACAAATGCCTTGCATTTATTCAGGTTAAACTCCATCTGCCACTCCACAGCCCATTGACCCAATGTAATCTTAGATAATCATCTTCACTGTCCACTATACTGCTAATTTTGGTGTCACCTCCAAACTTACTAACCATGCCTTCTATAATCTCATCTAACTCATTTATATAACTGACAAGCAAAAGTGGACCCAGCACTGATCCCTGTGGAACACTGTTGGTCACAAGCCTCGACCCGAAACGTCAACTTTCCTGCTCCTCTGATGCTGCCTGGCCTGCTGTGTTCATCCAGCTCTACACCTTGTTATCTCTGACTCCAGCATCGGCAATTCTTACTATCTCCAGTCCAAAAAACTTGTTTTAATTGCTCTAAAGCATGACCTGGTGCTTCCACCAATTCAAGAGACATTTGCATGGACCCTTTCAAAGAGGACACACTATGTGGGCTGTGCTGGAAGAGGCTGATGATGTTACACACACCCCTTAGCCCATCTTCAGCAGCATTACAGATCCAAAATTTGCTCTGTTCTCTTCCAGGCCATGGTGTTGCGTGACTTGCTGGAATACTTGGGAGACGTGATGTTCCCAGAATCCTGCTGTTCCAGTCCATTCATGTATAAACAGAGACAGTGATTGTTATCAGGCTGTTTAACCATGGATGGTCTCATTACAGTCCTCACCTTCACTCAGTCTTTGCAGTCCTTCGACCAGGAGTCCTTGGAGGTAATGAAAAGCAGGTTATTTTTTGGCCTGCCACCACCTCCCACACCAGCCGCTACCATTCCAGGGATGTTAGGACAAATTACAGCACAAGCCAGCGATCAAACCACTTGGGCATTTCAACCTGGACTTTTATTTGACAGGGAAATGTCCAGAAGAAACTGGAAGATTTGCCTATTTAAGGTTTATTCGTAAACAGCAGTAATTAGTTCATGAGCAAAAGGGGTCATTAAGTGCTTGTTCCTGAGATTAAGGAATTTATATGCAACAGATGACCAAAGGAAAGCTTTCTCAGCAGGGTCGCAGTCACAACAAATGTGACCTTCCTGAATTCCTCTCTCAAACCTCACACCTTCAGTTTATACAATTGTTTCTGTCAAGGTACAGTGTCAAAATCCAGATGTGGAGGCATTCTTACCGAGTGTTCAAATATTTGAAACATCAGCTTTTTAATCTTTCTTTGTTGAGGTAGTCTTCAAACACAGAGGGCCCAGATTTTATTTGGAGATGGGCTAAGGGCGTGCAAGGATGGTAGTGAGTGACAAAACCGCAACATGATGTGATGGGGAAGCCTGCATTTGGCTTTCAAAGGGATTTCTCTGTCTGTTCCCCATGATGTCACGGGTGTGGATGTCAGTTCCATGACCAAGGACTGTTAGGATAAGGGAATTCTGGTCACATAAGTGTGGTGGAAGTAACAAATGTCTAAGAATGGGAGTGTCGCTGGCTAAGCCAGCACTTATTGCCAATCCCTAATTACCCCTTGAGAAGGTGAGCTGTCTTCTTCAATCACTGGAGTCCTTGGGGAGTAGCTATGCCCATAGTGCTTTAACAGGGGGCTTCCAGGACCTCAGTGGAGCACTGAGCTATGCATCTCAGAGCACAAGGTGTTTCCCAAAGCAAGCGTTATGTCCTCCCTCTTCCTCACTGAATGAGGAAAGTGTCACTCACCAAGCTTCCTTTGGCAGCAGCTACCAAACCCACTATCTCTACCCTCTAGAAAGACAAGGGCAGCAGATATGTGGACTGTTAGGTTCAAGAAGGCAGCTCACCACCACCTTCTCAAGGGCATTAGTAACAGGACAGTAAATGTGATGCCCACATTCCATCAATAAATTTTTTAAAAAGGCACCTGAACTCAAACTGAGCATCGGCTGCTCTCTGACCTACCTTGTCATTACATTACTGTTGTTGTACCTGTTCTGCTGCAGTGGGATGGGGCTCTGAAAAGGTATCATCTGTGATGGTAGAAGGGGGTGACCACAGCCCGAAGCATCCAACTTCTAAGACCTGTGCCAGGTTGAAAATGTTTCAGACCTCCTCTGAACCTGGCATGACTGCTCTTCCAGCTCCTAAACCATTAGCTCTGATGTTTCCCCCAAGGAACATCAGAGCTAACCCTTCCTATTACTCATCATCACTTTGCCCCTTGGTGACATCA